CGTAGTGGCCGTAGGAACCGAATTTGCCCAAAGCATCCATCCTACCACGAGCACCATATTTACCTTCAGCCAGCACGTTTCCGTACAAGTCGAATCGGGAGTTCGAACCCTTGTCAGCGAAGCGTTTCAAATAACCCTGAGTGTCGTAATCGTCATAGGACTTCTTCTTGCCGTATCCTCCGTATCCACCACCACGACGGAATTTGGTGTTTTCCTCGAATTTGGTGCCCTCCTTATCGTGTCCGTGGGCACCGAAGTCACCCTTGGCGTACATCTTCCCGTACATATCATATTGACCATCATGGTGGGATTTACCGGCAAGGGAGTATTTGCCCATATCTTCGTACTTCCCGCGTTCTTTCTCACCACCGTATTTATCGAAGCTACCATACAGATCAGCGTGTCCATGGCCAGCGAATTTGCCTTTCAGTTGGTGGTTTGTGTAGTCGTTCTCTTTCCGGTATCCACGATGACGCTCACGATCCAGATAGCTGGCATGTCGTCGGAGCTTTCCGTGTGGAACATGAGCGAACGCCAGTGGTACGATGGCTAACAGGAGGACGAATGTGAACTTCATTTTTTTCTTTTCTATCGCTGTTTGGTTTTTCACGTTCAATTGCGGTATGCCTGCTCATTTATATATCCCCCACTCGCTGGTTGCTTGGGTTCACGTGGTTTGATCTGGTTTTCTCAATGCACTGTCATGTCAGTGCTTATCACATCGATTCTGTGTTCAAAAGTGCATTGAGATGGACTCTGGGTATTCGCATTCATCGATTTTTCTAAAAATCGAGCCAAATATTCCGCTATCGTTGTGCCATCACTGTTTCATAACACAATGATCCCCCACACTCCGAGTACTCACCCCGGAATAGCGGCTACCTATCATGTGAACATAGTTTTCGGACAATGTCGATTTTTTCACCCCCTCCGTCGCGAAAAGTGAACATCCTTAACGGAAGAACATGGCCATAGGACTCTATGCAGTTTCTTGATGCACGCAACTCGTAGTCCATTTTTTGTGATAGGTGTCAAACGCTGCATGTGGGAAAATTACAGACCACTTAACTATTTTGCGGACGTGGTCATTGAATTTTGAGGGATTTAATCGCGTAGTTAGAAACACTCCGTCCATTTCATCTATTGGTTACAAAAAATGAGAATCCCACTCCACCAATCGTACATAAATCTACACTTCTACCATTGATGAAACTGTGCTAAGAATTCTTCTAGCTCAATGATATGCATTTAAGTGACCTGATTTGCACGAACGGTAGTCTAAATCTAAATCTAAATCCACATTCACGCACCACACTCAGGCATGTCGGTTAAGCTCCATTCACACATGGAAAGAAATAAGCATTCGAGATCCGAATAATTTCGGTCCGGATTGCATGAATGCTGTCCGGTCATTTGCCGGGTTATCAGTATACGGAATGCCGGCAAGTTCGCCGAAAGCAACATGCATTTTCTAACACATCGATTGCCAACCCCCAATTGTCAGCAACAACGTAGGCACTATTGAGACCAAAAAGTTTCTTCCCTCTCATGAAATTCCATCGGATAAACTTGTCCGTGAACTGACATACCTTAGACAAATCAATGTTGTACCACAAATCGACTTAGATCTGCCACGGTTTCTCAAGGCTTGCCCGATGAGCTTTAATGGGAAGCGAATAACTTGGGATCTCGGCAATGAATTGTACTCCGTAGTTGACAATTCGCAGTTCGGTAAACCGTGGTTTGAAATGGTATAGAAAAACAACGAAATCCCTTAGTTTCCAGCCCAAGGCGACGATACAAGGAAACCATAACACATAACACCGTTTCCAAATGCAATGACTGGAACTTTCACACCTCGAAAATTAAACATTTGAAAATTTAATATTTGTAATGAGATAATCAGTGAAAAAGACATTCATTTATTCTGGTTACTAATTTCCACAAGCATGAAGTTTCCTTGCATCGGTAAGTGCAAATAGCTTGTTCACGGTGTAGTGGCTTGGGATCAACAATCTAACATGCTGGAGAGTTGTCACCATCTTTGGTCTGCCTGTTCCACATGTATGCTTTCGCATGATTGCAGGCAGTGGTTGCTTGGAGCATTCTCTCTTGCATCCTTCCCTTTTGTAGCATAGATTCCGCCAGGATGATCAATATCCTGAAACCACTTCTTCAGATAGGTCTTTTAGTTTTGTTTAAGTCACTGCCACCTCCGGTGAAGTAACTTCACTTTAAACGGTGCGTGAGTTCAGTGCTACACCGCTTGCTAAGCATTTTCGACTTCAGATACTCTCGAGCGTAGTCAGGCTAAACTCCGGCACTTCCAGGGGACAATATACTTTCCCTCGACCAACCGGTTGTTCTTCCTTATTCATACCGGGTGATCGAGAAGCAGGGAAGAATTAGAGACCGGCTCGCTGTCGCAGGTCGTGATATTGCATCAGCCATCTCTTAAACGGGACTGAGAAACAAGAGACCACTGTAGCCAGAGGCCAGTGACTCCAAGTACAAAGTAGACAAATAAAGTGAGAAAAAAGTAAATAAATTCAACTTTTTATTATGAGTGAAATACAAAGCTCACTTACGGGTACTGAAAAGTTAGGTGTTTCAATGCTTCAGACAGCCGTGACTTGAATGAATCGATGGTTGGAGCACAAACAACGTGGGGTGGAAGAGAGTTCCAGGTGTTACAAACTCTGAGGGTGAAAGAATGACGCCTGCAGTCGAGCCGGCTCCTTTGCAGCAGAAATTTAGACGGATGTCCACAGGGGTGACCATTCCTCACTAGAGTACTACCCGGGTGGTCAGGTTGATGTAGTATTGGATAAACGAGAATCATATCTCCCCGTATCCGACAGTATTCAGATGAACAGAGTCCGAGAATTCGCAGCTTTTCACTGTAGGTTTCGGATTGTAACCCTTTGATCATTTTGGTTCTCTGCGGACGTTCAAGTGCCTTTTAGTCGCGAATCAGCCATAGATTCCAAGCCTGTATAGGATACTCGGTGTGTGGTCTAATGTATTCCGATAATAAACGGGGCAATAGATCTGTTTCGAATGATCCAAAAACACGTTTTAGCAATCCAATGTGTTCTGTAGTTTTCGAAGACGCTCCTGCGTAATAGGTGGAACATCCTAGATACTCACGAACGATAACTCTCAGATCCAATACTACATCAACCTGACCACCCGTGTAGTATTCTAATGAGGAATGGTCACCTCTGAGGACATCCGTCTGAATTTCTGCTCCAAAAGAGCCGGCTCGACTGGAGGCGT